AAACCTGTTTAAGACGATCATTATGTTCTGCCTCGTCTTTACCCCAAATTAAAATGTCGTCTACGATGACTTCCACACCGTCAATGTCCTCAAATGCCTGGCTCATTCTCCTCTGGAAAACTTCGCTGGCCGAGTTTATGCCAAATGGCATTCTTAGGAAGCGATATCGTCCGAATGGGGTGTTGAATGTCGTCAATTTGGAGCTGTTCTCGTCGAGCTTGACATGCCAAAACCCGGAAGATGCGTCTAACGTGCTGAAAACTTGCGCACCGTTCAGTTGTGCAGCGATTTCTTCTACCGTTTTCATCGGATAATGTTCGCGTTTTATCGCCTTATTTAGATCTCTCGGATCCAGGCACACGCGAATTTTCTTGTTCTTCCGTTCTGTGATGACATAGCTATTAACCCATTCTGTGGGTTCCGTGACATTTGTTATCGCTCCGATTGATTCCATTCTTTCGAGTTCAGTTTTTAAACGATCTTTCATCGCAAAAGGTACTCTACGCGGTGGGTGAACGACAGGCGCAACAGATTCATCTATTTTTATTGTGTAATCTCCTTCTAGGCACCCGAGACCCTTGAAAACGTCTGCGTAATCTTCAACGAGTTTTGCAGCTTTGGTTTTGGTTTTTGATTGTCCATCGTTTCTTTGGCACCTGTCTCTCGTCTTTCTCACTCGACTTGTCTGTGCTCTCTTGACCCTCGGGGTTGATTGCGTAGACGCGTTTCACTAGTTGTAATTCTAGACATGTTGGTAATCCCAACACTGAACTGGCTCCCTTCTGGTCAATGATGTGAAACTCCACTGGATGTAACTGTTGTTTGTAAGTTACTACAAGCGTATTCTTTCCAATTGTTCGTATATTATGTCCCGAATAAGATACAAGTTTTGTTTTAGCTTTTCTAGTTTTTTCGCTTGTTAATCTCTTATAAAGGTCAAGTGGCATGACATTGCATTGCGCACCTGTGTCCAATTTCAGTTTGACGCTTTTCTCGTTAATTGCCATGTCAACGTTCCAGTCCTCGGCTGGTGTTTTATCTTCCTGTCCGATCGTCCCGATAAAAAATTCCTCTTCCGAATCTGAAGTGTACACTTCCTTAATCGCATTAATCTTGTTAGGGTTTCGTTTTCCGCCAGACAAACACATTCTTGCATAATGATTAAATTTCTGGCATTTGTGGCATTGTTTGCCTTTGGCACCACACTGCATGGGGCCGTGTTTTAAACCGCAGTTTTTACAATCGTACTTTTCAGTCCTTGAACTCCTACTCTCGTACTCGTAACTCGCCTCGCCTCTATCTTTATATTCTCTTCCATGCTGGCGTACAGTTCCTCCTTTTTTCTTATGTATGATGTTGATTTCCCCAGCTCGTTTCCCGTTGACGAGATTTTGTAATTGGGTTTTACTCAGCTCAGCAGTACGACAAATGTTTAGGGCTTTGTCTAAAGTCAAATCCTCTTCGCGCAACAATCTTGCTTTTACTTCGGCGCTATGGATACCACAAACAATTCTGTCCTTTATTAGGGAATCATGGAGCTGCGCAAATTCGCACGATTTGGCCAATTTTCTCAGTTCTGTCACATACGAATCGATGCTTTCGTTGGGCTCTTGATTTCTCGTGTTAAATACATGTCTCTCGAATGTCACGTTTTTCTTGGGCGTACAGTACAGTTCAAACTTTTTAATGAGGGTTTCTATTTTGTTTTCCTCACCCTCTGCGAAGACGAAGGTGTTGTAAACCTCCATGGCATCTTCTCCTGCTACGGCCAGCAGAGTTGAGCATTGGATCTCCTCCGATTTCTTGTCGCGTCCAGTTGCGTTTAAGAATAGTCGAAAATGTTGAATCCATCGCCTCCAGTTCTCGGCTACGTTGCCTTCAAACGAAAGTGAACGAGGGGATTTCAAACCACTCTCCATCCCGGTCCTGACACCATGTAATGTTTCCTATTATGCTATAGTAACCACTCAGAATGCCACTAGGTATAATACTAACTTTATTTATGATTCGACCTGGTAATTATATAAATCAGATGTTACGTAATAAGTGTTATACGATATTGTTGATTGGTTGTTGGTCCATGTCATGACAGTATCTAGCTCCATAGTGACCCCTTTTAGAGGTCACTATGGAGTTAGATACCTTGAATTTGTAACAAAACTCAAACCCCACATTTCCTTTTCGACTAGAAAACGCTGCACGTCTCTGAGTCGAGAAAGAGACAACACAGCCGTGTACCTCAGAGCCCGTCAAACTCTACCTTTGGGTGGAGTACTAGAGTATCAACCTCGTTCCCAGGGCTTCAGTGTGAGGACGAGGCGAGACACGAGGAAGCCCTGGTCCGGGCCGGTCAAGTGATGTCAAAAAATGGCAGTATTTGACAGCTACTCGTCAAGGAGTGGCGAGATATTCTTTAATGAAATATACAAGTCTTCGAAATAAATAAATAGCCAAAAGACTTCTCAATCGATATTATTTATGTGTAGAGCGAAGTTTGGCACGAATCAGCTAAAATCTATGAAGATCCCGTCTATGTTTTCGAAGATATACCAATATTTCTGGAGATTTTCAACTACAGGCAAAGCTGCATCCAACTACATCTAGGCGTCTCCATGCAAGTGGTGATTCACACGAAATTTCCTTTCTCTCGTCTTCAACAATATGGCTATTGCTATAATTAATATTTAGTTTAAATATGCTCTTATAGATCTGACTTAGTTCAATATAAATAAACACAAGTATAAAACCTCGCGTAACCTGTTTATGCTGTACAGGAATACACGGATTTGCTTGTTTCGCCGGACACCAACACTTGCCGTTCAGGAGCAATGCTTGCCTACAAATTTTATCCCCTTCACAATCTTTGTTTTATTTTATCGTATAGTCGCAATTTTCAAGTATTCGGGGTATTCTGGAACTGTGAAACTCGGTGGCGTGACGAATCTTGTAGAGACTACATCGGCCAAGGCGTAGAGCTTAAACAGGGCCTAAATTAATTTAGTAGTTTCATTTAATTGTTTGTCTTGCTTTTATTTGTCAGTACAGAATATTGTAAATTAAAATATTACTACAATGCAATACGCGTAGTATTTCATCAGACATCTGCACTACATTATAAATACTGTACAGGGAAAACTACGGCTCAAATAATAGTAGACGTTTCTTGTTTTGTCCTCGGTTTTGTCAGGCTCACGTCTCAGCTCACGTCTCAGCTCACGTCGACACGTGAGTTTTGTAACCGGCCGAGGCGAAAGTAAATCATGCAGTCGGGAAAACGTCTCATTTTGAAAGATTATTTTGCAAAACATACTCGTACACATAAGAATCATAAAAATACAAATGTTGAATTGTTATTGTCAACTGTCAAGTTCAGTTATTTTTAGACAATATGGTGTTAGCCAATCAGAATGCAAAATTGACCGGCCCGGACCAGGGCTTCCTCGTGTCTCGCCTCGTCCTCACACTGAAGCTCTGGGAACGAGGTTGCTAGAGTATTTATCATTCGGTGCACGAGGACTAGTACTCTGGATTGCAGAGCCTTCGACAATAAATAATAAAGTGAAATGTCGCGAAGGCTCTGGTTCAACGGGGCGATTCTTTGATTAAACCGCGCCAATCACAAAACAGAATTAGTGGTTTTAGTACAGATTCTGTACTAAAACCACTAATTCTGTTTTGTGATTGGCGCGGTTTAATCAAAGAATCGCCCCGTTGAACCAGAGCCTTCACGACATTTCAATTTATTTACTGTCGAAGGCTCTGGAATCCAGGGTAGAGGACTAGCTGAACCAACCATCAAACTTGCTTGTCTTGCTATCTTTCGCTTGTGGGACGCGAAATGATATACTACGCATGCCCAACCACATTAAAGCGTGTTTAATGCGCATGATCAACCTTATTTCGTCCCACAACCACAACCTCCCGAGGACAATAGAAAATGGGTGTGATAGGTATATAAACAACATAAAAACCTCATTGTCGGTCTTTCATTGAAATTCAAGACCCCGGCGCTGGGCGCCTCGGTCTTGAATTTCAATGAAAGACCTCCCATTCGGTTTTTATACTATATATAAAACCCTGTTGAGAACATCTTGAGAATCTCTGTTTCGACAAACCCGTACAAGCTCGGTTGTATGAGCTATTTCAAACATATTTCATCGTAATTGTTGTTGGTGAACGAATATTTAATCACTTCTTATTGATAGTATACAGTAGTGCGACACGAGAATTGATGCATATCAAATGCGAAAGCACTGTTTGTTTTTATTACAACCATGGTAATTCAAACTCATTTAAAAACAATACATATCATAAAGTAAATTTCATTGAGGGTCAATCCTTACAAATATGAACTAAGTTAGTTAGATACAGTACCTCAAACGTCGGTATGTATCGTCGTTTGTATCTGACTAAGAGCCTTTCGGTATCTAACTCTTACAAAAAATTGTCAAATTACAAATTAGTCATATCACTTCTATTCTGTTTACGCACCCGTGGGTTCGGCGTAGTAATATGGCATTCAAATTCCAACAAATGCTTCGTTTCAAAGGGTATACGTTTTTTTCACCACGCTGGTAGATACCTAAAATTTGCTTTAAGTCCCTTAACTCAGGAAGATTTTCACGTGAGTATTATGAGGCATGTTACCTTCAATGATCCAAAGGATACAGGTTCAAGGGGACACGTCAAAATTCAAAAATTCAGGTATAAATAAGACATTAAACATTGTAATTGTTGTACAACTATTCCCCAACTTTATTCTCAACTTGGCGGGTTCTTTAAGTTCTTGGGGTTCTCAGTGATGATATTTTCCTCAGGGCAATGCCCCTTGGAAAATATCATCACTTGGGGTAATATTT